GTACTAGGCCCAAATGGTGACCAGATTTGGAACCAAGGTCAGTATCAATCTTAGCTCGGTAAAATTGGGTTAGAGTAAGTGAGAGTTAGGGCTGGTAAAGGCCAAGTTTGGAGTCGGTTGAGACTAAGGTTGGGAAAGGGAAATTATGGGGTTTTGCATTACATTCTATGCATACTTGTGATGAAATGCTATAAATACTATTGTTGAGATTATTTTGTGAATTAAGTGTTGTGAAGACCCTAAGTATGATCCTGATTTTATTTTATCCCCAATGTGTGATGTGTGGCTCAAGGGAATCCAAAGTTGGTGCCTTAAGCATCTTCTACTGAGCAGTGGTGCTCACCCCTTTACTTTAAACATTTTCAGGACTCGAAGTGATGAAAAGGATGCTACGCCTACACTTGATTATACGAAATTAGGAAGTTAAGTTTTGTTGTATCATATATTAAAAAAAAAAAAAAAAAAAAAAAAAAAAAAAAAAAAAAAAGTATTCAAAATCAATGTAAACGAATTTATCTCGATATATAATGATGTATTATGATCTCATCTTGATGTATGGATGTTATTTTATCAATGTATATGTGTTTGTGGGTGTTTGGGGGCAGGTTTTATCCATATCCAAGGTCACAAGTGAAGCCATTAGGATGTCAAGTTGTTTGGGTACTTAAACGGGATTAAAAACACATTTTTAGGCCATATATTGTCACTCCCAAGCCCTGTCAGCCAGCTGGCAAGGCCCACTAGCCGACTAAAGGCCAAAACAGAGATTTTGATACACTGAGACGTTGTTTCGGCCAGCTGACCCTCACTGTCAGCTGGTTGATCCTTCATTTCTCCTGACTGAAGCTTTCAGTTCACCTGCAGTTTTAACCCAACTTCAAACAGTCATATCTCCTTCATTTTAACTCCAAATTTGAGTCTAATTTGAAGGTTTTTGAGTCATATTTCCAATGGTACCAACCTAATCCAAATATTCTAACTGTAGAGTAAGGTATGACCATTTTAGTGCGGACTACACCAGGAATCTTCTAAACCAGAAGGGGCTAATCATGTGAAAATATTGTTCTTGCATGTTAAACCATATGAAATAAGTTTATATAGCAGTGATGACGTAAATGGATATCCTTTGACTCATTTAGAGTTAACTCACTCTTCTAAATTATTTTGAAATGACCATTTTACCTTTGGGTGTCTCCGGGTCGGGCTAGGACCCGGTTAGAGCTCCGGACCTCCGGGTTTGGATCGTTAAATGAAAGTAGTCTTTCATTCTCTAATATGAATCTGGTGGTACCCGCTTCTCAAATTAATCTTTGAAAAGAGTTTTGAACCTTCCAACATATCCAACATATCATCTAACTATGGAATAGGAAATTTGTACGTGATGGTGATCTTATTGATAGCTCTGCTATTGATACACATACGCCAACTACCATCATTCTTTGGTACTAACAAAGTTGGAATAGCACACTGACTCATACTCTCTCTCACCATACCCTTCAAATCTAACTCCTCAACTTGGTCCTGCAAAATCTGACACTCCTTTGGACTCATGTGATAGTGAGGTAAATGCGATAGACTAGTCCAGGTACAAGATCTATGTGGTGCTGAATATCTCGTATAGGAGGTAGACTACTAGGCAACTCATCTGGAATAATCTCTCGAAACTCTTCAAGCCTGGATTGTAACACTATTGGAATTGTCGAAGGAGTATCAGACACCTTTTCTCCAACCACCAGTACCAAAAACTGGCCAGACTCCTTGGCCTGCTCCAAAAACTGCCGATTAAAATAATTGATTTTCTCTTGGCTTCTGAAACCTTGGAAAAATTCCCTTCAGTTATAGGACCCAACACAATCTTCTGCCTTCTTTATCAAACATGTAAACATTATCTCTACTCTAATGAGTGGTGTTGATGTTAAACTGTCATGGTCTGCCCAGAATCAAGTGACAGACATCCATATCAACAACATCACACAACGCCTCATCAATATACTTATTCCCAATAGAAAAGGAAACATGGCAGATATCTATAACTCTTGTTTCTGCCCTTTTTATAATCCAACCAATTTTGTAAGGACTCGAATGCTTCTCTATTTTCAACCCTAACTTTTAGACCATCGCCCTTGACACAATATTCTCATTGCTTCCACTATCAATAATAACATCATAGATTTTCTTATTAACAGTGCACCGTGTCCGAAATATATTGTGCCTCTGTGGATGTTTTTCCATTTTCGGGGTAAGTAACAACCTTCGCATAACTAGAGAATGTGAGAGTAAATCCCTTTGATCTTCTCCGATCACGTCTTCCTCATCGTCTAAAGGAAACCATTCATCAGCTTCTCTATCTTGATCCTCCTCACCTCCAAGCTCTATTAAATTGATTGAGCGCCTTTGGGGATATTTATTAGATTGATGTCCTGGCTTCCCACATCAATAACACTTAATGGGGTCTGGCTAACTTTAGGGATTATTTTTTAATGTATCCTGACTCGTCACGGGAGCTGTTACTGTCTTCTTTTGCTGAATACTAGTGCTAGCCAAATCAGGTACTGTTGGAACAGAAGGCTAATAATACATGGGTTGTTTTGTTTTGCTCATCGTTGAACGCATCAAATCAAAATAATTCCTGGACTTAACCAGTGTTTTCGCTTTCTCAAAAAAGGCCTCTACCCTGGTTGCCACATTCATGGCTTCTGCTAAAGTGTAAATTATCTGTGTTGATACCCTATCATGAATGGCATATCATAGACCATTCAGATAACGAGCAACTCACTATATCTTAGTTTCCCTCAAGTCGTTCCGAGACATCAACCGGTTAAATTCCTCTGTATAGGCTTGAACCGTTCGAATTCCCTGTTTACAATCCTAATACTTTTGGAATAGAGTCTGGTCATAATCTAGTGGCAGGAATCTGCCCCTTATCAGATACTGCATCATCTTCCAGGATCATACTGGTGTTTTCCCTTGTCGTGCGCAAGCAACCTGAAATTGTTCCCACCATGCATAAGCTCCTCCCTTAAGCCTATATACCACTAGTTTCACCTTCTTATCTTTTTGGATATGTATGTAATCAAAGAATCTCTCAACTTCTACCAACCAATCTAAGTTATGTTCAATATTAAGATTACCGTTAAAACTGGGGAGATCCATCTTCATACGAAACTCCCTAGAATCACAATCTCCTTGATCTTAATATCTTTCAGCCCCTCTATTTTTCCCAAGCACCTCTTCAGCGTAGTCATCATCACTGAAGTCTTCCTTGTAGGCTGGCTGCTTACACGGCGGGATGGGGTTGCGATTCCAAAAAGGACGAACGCAATATTCGTCAACGTTTCACACCCTGTTGTAATTGCGAATCTGATTTGGACCCAACGCGAGCCCAGCAAGGGCTGCTTGAATTTCTTGCAACACCTATTGGGTTGTCTGTCGAAAGTCCTGGAATTCGTCCCCCGAAAGAGCCTCTCTCCGTCGATCTTCATCGCCAGCGAGGTTGTCATCACCATGTTTATCTACCATCAGATTAGGAAAAGATAAGACTTTGATACCAACTGATGAAAACGGAAGCAATAAAGTTGTTCAGAAGGAACGATTTACTTTGAATCCACAAAGTGTGGTGCTTTGAATCCTTAAAACGAAGGATAATTTCAGAGAAATCTGTTGTTTGTATTGATAATTGAATGAATGATTCTGATTTCTATATTACACATATTTATAATGAAAGAAAATCCTAATCCATAAGAAAACTAACTGCAACTTGAATTCTTATAATATAAGGAAAACTAATCCCGAAAGGAATACTAATATCGGAAAATAAGCCTAAAAATAAAGTTTTTCTAAAAATTATAAAAAAATAGAAAAAGAAACCTAATAAAGTAAAATTATTAAATATAAAGTATGAATGCAATTCGAGTTCGTTTAGACAACGAACAAAAATCTCAAAATTTTCAACATGCTAACCGAAAAACCACGTTTTGAGGCTCTAAACAATGGTATAATTTTGCCGAAAAGCACGTTACGTCACAACATAATAGTGAGTCTTATTCGTTGGGCTGTTTTCAGTCAGAAAAAAATTTTGTTAGGTCAAAAACGCAAACTTCGGGATTAACCCAAAAAATCTCACAAAATGCCCATTTGGGCCCTGACCATCCAAACAGAATTATAAAGGCTTCAACGATTCATTCTATATCATTTATAACGCGTGCTTCAACGATATCGATAGCAATAAGGATAACGTGATTAAAAAGGCGGCTAATATGCCATGGGTAGAATGGCTAAAATGATGTAATGTAATGAATGTAGACTTGGTCAAATCTGCAAACAGACCTCGCTTTGAGATCCAGTACTATTAGCGGCATTTCATTCAATGTCTGACTGATTTGCTGCAACAAGTCAAACAAAAAGAAATGGGTTGGAAGGCTCCGCGAGTTCTACATTTGGGCACTTTTTTCTGCAATTGGCCACTTTTTCAGGTGAGTAATTGTTGTTGATCCTCTATAATTAAATCGGATGCACTTTCTTTCACGTTAGGCATTAGTGTCTATCCTCTAGAATTAAATCCAAGTGTTGTTTTCTGATGACAGTTGAATTATGCGATAAACCTCTACAATCTAACAACAGGAGTGTGAGAGATCAATCTACTCAAGAAAATGCGTTAATCGCGTGCCATCAGTCTCAAATCTATAAATACTTTTTTTTTTTGTTAATTATATTTTCATTTCTTAGACGAATGTAAACTTGACAACAAAACAAGTCTCAAATCTATAAACAGTTTTTTATCGTATTTTTCATTTCTTAGACCAATGAAAACTCGACAACAAAACATGACAATATATATACTAGAATTCAAGATCAAAGAATTTTATGAATAACTTATTACAAGATAAGCGTGGTAGGGTTTCAAAAAGATATTTTGAGATTAGCACAAAAGCTTTGAGATATTTTTTTTGGCGAAGAAAATATCTAGCCTATACATGAGGTCAACTTTAAGCCTGACGTGGCACAGTGATGGGACCATGACGCGTGTAAAAGCGGCGACAACTGGCACCCCTCTTCTGTCTCCCTCGTTCGACACTTCATCTTCTCTGCCTCTGCAGAAATATCATCAAAATTCGATCCCACCGTTCCAATCCAAATTCGGACCGCCAAACCAAAAACATTCACACACAAGCACACAATTCAGCTCGCTCTCTGTGAGATTAGGGTTTCTATCTTTCTTTGCTGAGCTTCAACCGTCGGATATGGAAAACGATTCTCCTCCTCCTCCTCCTCCTCCTCCGGCCACCTCACTCACGTCGGAGGTTATCGGCCGTAACGCTTCAACCGATTCTGAAGAGACTCAGAGTCTGCTGGTAATTCTTCATCGTCGTCATTTTTTCTCTACATATACACATATATATTTATATTTTGTTGATTTGTTTGTTTCTTTTTCTGCTGATGTACAATAACATATCTGGTATTTGTTGATGGTTGGTTTAGGGTTTATTGAAATTTGCAATTGCTTTGTTTGTAATAGTTGTACTTGTTATTGACGCTTGTGTGTAATATATATATATATATATATATTCTAATAAAATTCTCTTTGTTTGGTTCATGGGAAATAGATCTAAAAAGAAAATTAGATATTACTGAAAGTGGGTTCCTTCCTCAAGCTAATGATAATATCTCTATTCGTCTTCTTTTTTTCATAAACAAATGGGGCTTGGGGCTGTTTGATTTGGGGAATTACCCAGGGAAAAGAAAGGGGAGAGACAATAAGATAGTATTTCTACCATATAATTACTAGTGTGAAGCTGTTTTGGCTTTGAAAAAAGTATCAATCTACCAATTAATTTTTAACACCATTGTTGTAGGGCTTTTTTTTTTTTTTTTTTTTTTTTTTTTTTTCATCCTTAGGACTCCATCCTGAGCTGAGACCTTAGGATAGTATTCCTTTGCTGCATGTACAGAGAGGGAAATTGGATTCCAACCTACCTATCAAAAATTGGGACTTCTAGTGTGCAAAACCAATTCATTTTGTAAGATCCTCCTGGGGACTTTAGTCTGATTTATTCTAATTGTTTTCGCTATATGTAGTTGAATGCTCTATGTTGTTGATGCCTTTTATTCCTGGTGTTTTAATTTAACTTTCTGTCACCCTTAAGATACACAAGTGCTGTTTCGTTTGTGTCGGGTCCGTGGGATTGTTGACAAGAATACTAAAGTTTGCTTTCTATGTCTATTAGATGATTGCACCATCATGTTTCTTGTGTGATTTCAAAACTGGTTATTCTTCTTCCTCAATATTCTGTGGTTCTAATTACAAATACTCCATATCAGAACTCTCAGGCAGGAGAATCAAATAACACGGAATGGACAAATGAGAAGCACCGTTTGTACCTCAAGTCCATGGAAGCAACATTTGTTAACCAGTTATATAATAACATTAATCTACTTGGCCGGTACTCACAAAGGGAGCACTCATCAGATTATAAATTGTCAAGGCAAATGCGTGGCAACACCCGTGCGTCTTCTGGCCAGGTTTGAGAGCCAATCTCCTCTCTTTGATGAGCCTTTCCCAATATTTTTCATATCCGTACTGAATGTCTTTCAATTTTTGCTTCATCACCCTCTTTCCTTTTAATTTCTTTTTTATTTTTTATTTTTCATTTTACTTCAGCAATTCAAAGTTCTTCGAAGTGGCTGCTGGGAGAAGATCAATTTTGAAAGACAGGAACCTCGAGTGGAGAAAGCAGATGGTTCTCGTGTCCTTTTAGCAAATCCATGGATTCGACATTTCAGATCCGCAAGCAGGCACCAAGTTGTGACATCTTCTGCTCTTCAAGAAAAAGCCGCCTTTGAAGGTCGAGCAATCTGCGTAAAAGGGAAAATGGCATTGCCATCTCCCTCAGCTAATTCAGAGCAGTTTCATGCGCCTCATTTGTACGGTCATGATTCGGTTGGCAGCGATGCAGGTAATTCCTAGCTATATTTTAGCACATTTGGTTGAATATCTCATTTTTCTTACCTTGACTGCAGTGGTTTATTTTTGCCTTTGCTGGTTCATGCTTCATACATATATCCCTTATTGTATGTTTGAGTTAAACATTCATGGCAAAGATCTAACTGGTTTGGGTTGGTGTTGAACTGTGTGACTGTATGAGAGACATGGTGTGAATTGTATATAAGTCAAAAATCCAAATATAATGAGAACAAAAGGTGATTATCCAAAAAAAAGTAACTATTAATATCAGGAACTTTTGACAAAATTCTGAGTTCTGATTAAAAATCGCCTTGTGTCCTAGGCTGTATCAGTCCCCAAGTGCATTGTGATGTGCAGCAGCATTTCAGAAGGAAACTTCTCTATTTATTTGTGCAAAATGTTCAAATCCATATACGATAAGGCTAGCAAATCTGTTAATTAACTAGCTTTGGATAAATCTGATACGTTTGGTTTTTGCAGAGATGTCGGATCAAAACTTCGTTGGTGACAATATTGAGGGAGACAAGGCAAACTGTATGTGCAGTCAGAAGAGGCTGAAATCTGCGGTTGATCCTACATCAAGCAATGATCAAGTAATGTTGAATTATCTTATGAGCATCCTTCAAATACACTCGTGAGCATAATCTCTTTTTGGGTTATGTCTCACTTTCTCTTGCTCTTTCAGGTCGTTCCTTTCAGCAATTTTACCGCGATACAAGATGTTACCAAGAACCCTGCTTACTTGGAAAGTGAAAGGCACCATGGTAGTAATCTGTAATTGTAGAAAAGGGTAGCTAGCTTTTTTGTGATTGGAAATTAACGACGACTTCCTGAAACAGAAAGCTAGAAGCAGGTAAGCTAGTCTTACTAATAGTTACGATGGTTTAGTTTGTACTATTTATAAATGCTTGGATGAGAGAGCAATCATGATTTTGAGATCGGGGCATATACCAACAAAAATGATGTGGTTTAGTTCTACAAAGATCAGTTGATAATGATAGAAGAATGTGTGCATGCTGCTGCCTACTGCTGCTGTAAATGATATACCAGATGAGTAGAAGAGCTGATTGTTCCCCAATTAGAGAGGTTGCTCAGATATTCTCAGCGTGTCCTTCAATCAAGATTTTTATTGAAGTTTTTTCAAGTAGTTGGCAACTAATAACTATGTAAGGTTTAGTTGTACAGTCTGGTATTTACCCAGACTGTTTGATGCTGGAATTTCAGTTGACTAGCTAGGGTATTTGCGACAACTCTCTTATCTCTCAAGTATAATTGCACACAGTGGTACTTTACATCCTCCAAATTAGGAGATGTCGGGAAGGGTTCCGGAATGTGTGGGGTGTACGGCTCGAGAAAGTATTAAATATCCCGATGCAGTGGGAGCCCTTGGATGTGGTGGGGCCCACCACCACCCCACCACATTCATGTGCACGCGGCGGGTACCATATCCCAGGATATTTAATATTTTCTTGTTGGCCTCACATTTTGACATCACAGTGATGTCCATGGTGGGTCAAACTTTCTCAAATTAGACTCCCATGAGTCTGCCTTAATCATACCATTCAAGATCTACACCAGCCAGTGCAAGGGTGTATTTCTTCAATTTTAGGAAGGAAAATGATAGGGTCACCGAATAATTTTTTCGAATAAATTTCGAATCTGATGTATTTTTGTCCCTTTCATCTACTTAAAACAGTTTATAAAAAATAATTGTTTAACATGTGATAAGTATAGCCAATCAAGTCAAATTCGGTGTTAATTTGTGGATTCTTTTTCGGTCCTATTATTATTACTCTTTCAGGAATTCATCTTTTTATATGATTATTCTACTAATCACCACAATAAGATTGGCATCTAAAGCCTTAACGAATCTGCTGTGTGTTTACATTATCGAACTCAAGCTTGCATTCTCATGCATTTTATTATCTCAAGGAATGACCTCTTAATATTTATTTTTGTCCGCGGATGGTAATACACACAACACCATATATCATTTTGAGTTTCTTTGCACGTAGAGCTTCACTTGGACCCCAATAACGCATACACTATTTTTTAAAGGCCACTATTTTTTAAAGGCCATTGTCGTCCAATTTTAAATGACGCATTACATTCGATTAAGATGGAATAAAGCAAGTTTTGAGAGTGCAAAGCACAATTGTGTCACATTATTACCCGATTGATCTTGAGCCCGAATAGGTATTGGGTGCCCGGGGTGTGTCAGATGCACGGACCGCACGGTGTACGGGCTCATCCGGGCTGTACGTGTTCCGGTGCGCTCAATCCCTCCTCCATGAGCCCAATGGTATATAACATATATTTGTCCAAGCGCAGGTAAGGTGTTGACTCCCTCTGATGAGAAAAATGAACCGGCATAGTACTTTACGGGCCTTTTTGGGAGATCCAAACGGACTTTCAAGCCCAAAAAGTCATTCATAAAAAAAGAAATGAAAAGCATTTGGTGGAATGCATGTTATGGGCTTTTGCAAAAAGTGAAAGTGGTTAAAAGCCCATTGGGCTAAAGCAGGAGAGAGGCTTTCAAAAGTAGATATTTGGGAAGCCTAATCTCGTTTATGTTGTGTGTGTAGAATATATATATTTTTTCATTGACAAGAAACACATGCCCATTGACACACTCTTTTTGCCCGGGAACTTGAATCCTCACCATTCACTTTAGAAGTAGAGGAGTTACCATTAATCCACAATACCTTGGTAAGTGGTACAAATATCAGATTCACTATTTTGGATTGTAATATCCATATTAAACTTCTTCTTTTTTGATTTTATTACAAACAAATGGCCTATTTGATTCAGTTTTTTGAAAATATTTTTCAAAAACTCAGAGAAGAAAAAGGTGACAACAAAACAAGTTTCTGTACAACTCTCCAATTTTGAGGTCTTGATTCTCCCAAACGGAGTCCAATTCTCATTGAATTTTTTGCGTTTGTGATAATCTCAGACTCAGACAAATCGAGTTGATCTTAAATTTGTTTTGTGTTGAGTTACTCTCGTACATAAAAAAATTCTAAAAGTTGAATGTGAATTCTTAAATGATTATAAATAGATTCTTAGGCTCAGTTTGGTTAAGATGGAAATATTGAGAAAAGAAAGGAAATGGAAAATGAAAAGAAAAGTGAAGTGAAAATAAAATTGATTTTCTAGTTTGTATTTGGTTAAGATGAAAATTTATCTAAGAAAATTGTAGAAAAATATCATTTTATAGTTTAGATACCTAAATTGTCCTTATTTTATAAAAATAATAAAATAATATAAAATTAATTAGTAGTATGTATATTAAAAAAAAATGATGGAGTTTTCAATTAATTTAGACCTTGTAAATTATTATTTATTTCATTCATATTTGATGGAAAGTAACTAAAAATGAAATTCAAGTTAATTAAAACCCTATTAATGATAAAGTGGTTATTGGACTGCAATTCTTTAAAACTCAGTAAAAAAATAAATAAATAAATAAATAAGGATAAAGTTGTTGTGTAAATAATGCAATGAAGTTGTTAGGTAAAATAGGAATACAAAATAAAAAATAAAAAATGTTACTTTCACGTGAAATAAAATTTCCCTGTGTTTTATACTAGAAACATTTTGAGGAAAATAAATGATTACGAGAATCTTAATTTTTTAGAACTTTTCATTTTCTATCTAACCAAACTCCTAATGATGCGTTTGGTGTGTAAGAATGGAATGAAATGTAAGTGAAAATGGAATGAGAATGGAATGGAATAGTCATTCTCATTCTATTGTCTGGTTGAAAATATGAAATGTGTAGAAATAGAATGATAATAATCATTCTAGTATTTGGTTGAACCGATTTAAAATTTAGAATAGAATAAATCTCAAATTAAATTCTCCAAAATATCCCTTTTAGTAACAAATAAATTAAATTAACAAAATGACATTCTCTAATAATTTTTTAAAAATAAATGGTAGCAGTGGCGGTAATGGATGGTGGTGGAGGAGGAAAGCGGTAGTGCTATAGGTGGTGGTGTTGGAAGGCGGCGGTGGTGGCAATGGTGGAAGGAGGCGGTGGTGGTGGAAGGAGGCGGTGGTGGTGGAAGACGGTGACAATAGTGTGGTGGAAGGAGATAGTGATGTAGGTGACGGTGATGGAAGTAAATTGAGGTGACTGTGGTGGTGGTGGAATGTAGTGGAGGTTGAAGTGGTTGTCGTGGTGGTGGTGGTGGTGGTGGTGGAAGGTGGTGGTAGTGGCAGTGGTGGTGGTGGAAAGTGGCGGCAGTGTCAGCGGTGGTGGTGGTGGAAGGTGGTGGAAGGAGATGGCGGCGGTGGTGGAAAGCAGTGGCGGCAACAGCGGTGGTGGTGGTGAAAGGTGGTGTTGGAAGGCGCTAGTGACGACGGTGGTGGTGGTGCAAGGCTGTGGCGATGGAAGGCGGTGGTGGAAGGTGGTAATGGTGGTGAAAGGCGGTGGCAGTGGTGGTGGTTGTAAAAGGCGGTGGTGATGGTGGAAGGTGGTTGCGATGGAAAGGGGTGGCCGTAGCGGTAGCGATTGTGAAAGGCGATGGTGGTGATTGCGGCAAAAGAAAACGGTGGCGGTGGTGAAATGCGGTGGCAATGGTGATGGTGAAAAGCAGTGGGCAATGGTGAAAGTCGGTGGCGGTGGTGGAAGGCGGTAGTTGTGATGAAAGGCGGAGGTGATTTGTGGTGGAATGTAATGGTTGTTTTTGGACTTGAAAAACGAGGGTTTTTTGGAAATTGATTTTTAAAATAAAATTATTTGGGAACGGAATGGCCATTCTATAGGTTTAGTTGTGGAATGAATTTTCATTCTAATGGAATAGTCATTTTCACTTTAAATTGCATACCAAATAAATAAATTATTGGAATGGGCATTTCATTCCATTCCTGCACACCAAACGCAGTATACAAAGATTTAAAAAAAAAAAGTTGAAAATATGGTTGATCATGAATAAAAATATATCTAAAAGTATGAATATATATATAAAAAAAAAAAATAGAGTTAGAACTTGAGCTCCGGTTAGATTCGAGTTGTTATAACATCAACTCTAATTAAGCTCAGATTGAGATTTTTTAACATGAGGAATGTAATTTAGTCAGTTCAAGTTGCACCGGAGCTCAAAAAAAAAAATATGAAAAAAAAACAGACGAAAGATAATGATTGGATGACCATACCAAAGAGTCCAAACTTTTGACCATTGGCACAAAGTGGAGGCTTGAAGAGCTGTCAAGATCTAGCAATGGCCTTGGCCCATTTGATGATATGGATATACAGATTCTCATTTACCCAACCAAAACCAAAAACACCATCCAATAATTCCCACTTTCGGAGATCCCTCCAGCTGGAATTGTGTGAAATGGCAGGTTGAATTTGTGCAGGTGGGTCCCTATATACATCCCCCATTGGTTGAATTGTGATCATTGGGATAGTGATATCTTGTAATTTTTACCTCAACCACAAATATTATGATTTACATTTCAATATATATATATATATATATATATATATATACACACACACACATATGTGACATTTACCCATGAAAATATCTCTTTTTAATGATCAATCGAACTCCATGCCTAACAAAGAAAAAGATCAATCAAAATCGATGGTCATGACTAGTCAATTCCACACCATAGGTTACAACATTGAAGGATGACATGGGTTAAGGTTTTAGTACTTCTCTCTTTTTCTTTTCTGTTTTTTATTTATTTATTTATTTATTTATTTGATCTTTTTCAATAATTATTCGTTTCCCTCCTTTTCAACATTGAAGGACGTTGGTGTGATTTTTCAAATAATGGAAGAGGGCCCTATAATTATGTTAATTAAACCTTAGTGGAGACTACTACGTTTACCCCTTTTTTATATGTGTACAAAACATTAAGTTTTCTTTTTCATATAATTGTCAACCAAAAGATTTTATATATATATATATATATATATATATATATATATATATATATTTCTCTATTTATCACTTGAATAGAAAATAATTTTTTTTAAATTAAATCATACATATTCCGCAGATGCCTCGATATCTCAATGAGTTAGTATCTCTGGTAGACTTTCGAGTACTAGGCTTCAACTCTATGCATTTACTAATCTAAATCCTAACACTTCTCACCTTGAAAAAAAAAAAAAAAAAAATCATACATGCCCCATAATTCCAATAGTCAATATTATAAATTATAAACTTAATTAATCTAAATCATATACTTGCATCTTCACTTAATTTAAGGCTATGCCATCCTAAGGTGC